CAGCATCGTTTTGTCCCAGTGTGCAAGCAGATGCCTGTGGGAAACCCGCAAGCGGGATTTGAGCACAAGAGCCCTCTCCCCTCCCGTGGCTTCCAGCAATTGGTATTCAGAAGCATTGCTGCCTCTGATCGTGGAGGCAGATCCATAGCCATTGTGGCTAGTAGCCATCGCTAGCCCTCTCTTCCATGAATTTGTCTAATACTCTTTTAAAGTCATCCGCTTTGATGGCCATCACTGCCTCCTGTGGAAACGATTTCCATAGTTTATCTATAAGCTGCGTAAATAAGTTTTTCTACCCTGGGACACGGGTGGTGCTGTGGGTTAAACCACAGAGCCTAGGGCTTGCCGATCAGAAGGCTGGCGGTTCGAATCCCCGCGACAGGGTGAGTTCCCATTGCTCAGTCCCTGCTCCTAGCAGTTCAAAAGCACGAAGTGCAAGTAGATAAATAAGTACCACTCCGGCGGGAAGGTAAACGGCATTTCCGTGCGCTGCTCTGGTTTGCCAGAAGCGGCTTAGTCATGCTGGCCACATGACCTGGAAGCTGTAGGCCGGCTCCCTTGGCCAGTAGAGCAAGATGAGCGCCACAACCCCAGAGTCGGCCACAACTGGACCTAATGGTCAGGGGTCCCTTTACCATTACCTTTACCCTGAGACATACAGAAGGGACCTCTTTGCCACAGCTACTCCTACATTAGGTGATTCACCAGAGAGTGATAGAAATGCTCCCCCCCAAGCCTCTGTAAGTATTGTTGCATGCCACTCCAATCTCCGAGTGGTGCAAGAGTCCAGGTGTTCCAGGCGTTTACCCAGGGTTCAGGTCTCCTTTTGGAGTGCGGCACAGCAGTGACTGTGGTGTCTTTATGATATATGGTTAGTTAGCACATATAAAGGTAAAGGTGAAGGACCCCTGGATGGTTAAGTCCAGTCAAAAACGACTATGGGGTTATCTCACTTTTAGGCCGAGGGTGCTGGTGTTTGTCCACAGACAACTTTCCAGGTCATGTGGCCAGCAAGACAAAACCGCTTCTGCTGCAACAGGACACCGTGATGGAAACCAGAGCGCACTGAAACACTGTTTACCTTCCCACCACAGTGGTACCTATTTATCTATTTGCACTGGCATGCTTTCCAAATGCTAGGTTGGCAGGAGCTGAGACAGAGCAATGGGAGCTCAGCCCGTTCCGGGGATTCGAACCACCGACCTTCTGATCAGCAAGCCCAAGAGGCTCAGTGGTTTAGACCACAGTGCCACCCACATATATACAACCTGAGCCTACGATGGAGGGGTTCGCAGCATTAACACTCCCAAAGAGTCTTGTTTCTTCCATAGCCACAGCCTTGGTTTCCAGAAGAGGAGTAAAAAATGTACGATATCCACCCTGAGAGGTCTTTTATCCAGTAGACCTCGTAGACCAGCCTCCACTGTTGGTCCTGCAGATCACAAATTCAATAAATAATAATATTCCATGTCAGTTGAGCTGCCAGAGGTTTCCACTGTTGTTATTAAATGTTGCACTGTGTATTTTTTTAAAAAATGAATCCCATGTGTTTTTGTATAAATGTGTGCTTATTATAATGCATGTTTTTTGTTTTGTTTGTTTACCTTTGCTCATGCCCTTAAATATGTTACACATCGCTTGGAGACCTTTTTGTGTAACAAATGTCTAGCATGTCTGGGAAGTTCAATAAATAATAATAACAATAAAGCTATTTCAAAGGGTCCTGCGGTGGGGAGGGGCTGTAGCTCAGGGCTGGGGAACCTGTACCTCCAGGTGTTGCTTGACTGCAATTCCCATCAGTCACACGAGTTGGGGATGATGGGAGTTGTAGTCCAATGTCTGGAGGGAGACCAGGTCCCCCAGCCCTACTCTGGATGGTAATGTGCATCACTTTGCCAGCTTCAAAATGTGGTACGCCAGCCTTTCAAGGCTGGAGTCATTCTGCTGAAGGAGGGCCCTGGACCTCTGCCCCCAAGTCCTGCACTAACAGCATCACAGAATTGTACAGTTGGAAGGGTCCTCTAAGGCTCACCTAGTCCAACCCCTTGCAAAGGAAGAGGGAACACAGAAAGCACCGGCCAGATGGTCATGGTTCTCAAAGACTGCTTGAGTATCTTTCTTCTTTTTGTCAGGATGTGTCACAGTCCAGTCTACGGGCGATCAAAGTCCCGGCTGAGGATGTCGGGACCGGGGACAAGATGGCAGGGTGGGAGCAGGAATGAGAGTCCAGAAGCCAGAGGTCTGAGGGTCATGAAGCAGGGAGTCATGCAGTCAAGGGTCCGAAGGTCGAGAAGCAGGGAGTTAAGAAGCCCAAGGCAGGAAGCGTGTTGCTGTGGCAAAGAGCCGAAGGGAAATGCTGACCTTATATCCCTTCCCGGCTCTTGCCACCAGGTGCAGTGAGTTACCAAGCAGCCTCACCTGTGCGGCTGCACCTTGCCTCTCCAGAACAAACTTAGGAAAGCCCAAGTCCTGCGAAGCCCTACTGGTCACAGGGCCTAGCTCCTGCATGTACTCCTGACAGTGTAATTGGCTAACCTTTGAATAGATAGAGGGAGTGTGTGTCAGGGTCTGAAGATGAGGACTGGGGAATGCATTCTATGGCAGACCAGCTTCTCTCCGATGGAGAGCTGGAGGTGGAAGAGTTTCCCCACCCCTCTTATCCACAGAGTGTTCAGAAGCAGAGAGAAAGAGACAGAAACTGAACAGCTTAGGAAAGAATTACGCGATAATGACAAGGGAGCAAGAAGGGAGGGGGCAGCTAGTCAAGACGTCACTTGAGAGTGTGGGGGACCCCCCCTCACCACGGACTAGGAGGTCCTAGCTATAAGAGAGCAAAGGAGGCAGAAGGGGGGGAGGAACTTCCCGTTGGCGCCTTAACTGCTGCAGAAGTCAGGAGGAGGATTTAGAGTAGCCAACTGGCCTCCCTGTGGAGGGCTGAATATTTGTGCTTGCAACATGAGGCTGTAATAAAAGGACTATAAATCTATCAACTGCTCGTTAATTCTTATCTGCAAAATTACCGAAGAGGGAGGAGGACTCTCCACCCGTGGCAGCGAGAGAGATTTGTTGAAAGCAGTAGCAGGGAGCTTTGGGTCAGAGGGCCAAATGCAGGCCTCTGGGCTGCTCGATCTGGCCCTCAGGATTCACCCCATACCACCTCCTCTCTCTGCAGCCCTCGCTGGCTATTGTTTTGCAACAAAGTGTTTTTACCTCTGTCAGCAGATAATGCACAGCCAAAGTCGCACTCAGGAGAGCATTATTTACAAGTTTTATTCAGCGTTGATCAGAACAAAGAAAAACATGACTGCCTGCTTCAGTGTCTCCAGACACACAGAGAGAGAAACGAAAGCAATAGAAAACATAAACTTCCTGTGAACAGGAAACGCGCAGACTCTGTGACTCACAAAGCCTGCTCCCTTTTAAGGTGGAACAGAAATATCCTAACAACATTTACATCCATTACCCTGCCCAGTTTTACCTCCAACCCTGTCCATGATAAGAAAAGATGAGAGGCTTGCAGGATCTGGCCAACAGCCTTCTGGTGCAGCACCCTGGTCAACCAGAATGGCCTGAGTGCATCACTGGCATACAGCATTTGAAATCTTTCGCAGAAGGGAATGTGCTCCCCTTCCCCTGGTTTAAGGTTTCTTCTCCTGATTCCAAGAGACCACACCTCATCTTGGAAGGGTAGCAAGAGTAGGTGACGGAGATAGCACAATTCACCCGGTGATCTTCCAGGCTGAGTAGGAATTTGATGCTGGGGTCTGTTGGTCCTGCTTTGACACTCAAACCGACTTGTTTGCAAGGTGCAAACACGGGAGAAAATGTGCATGGAAAACTGCGGCCTGGATTTGCATCATAGAAGGAGCTGCAGTCAGATTTGCAGGGTGCTTACATGTCATGGACTGGCTGGGAGGAAGAAGGCTCAGAGGAAGAAGGCTCAGAGCCAGGGGAGTGGTGGTGGGACAATGATGTGTGGTCAGAGGGAGAAGAGGGAGCCTGCTGAAAGGAGGAGGTGTCAGAAGCTGTAGTGGCAACAGGGTTTAGTGAGCAGGGAGAGTCTGTGGCAAAGAGAAGTCCAGAAGCAGTAGCAGAAGAGGAGAGAGGTCAAGAGGCTGAGATGAATCAGGCTGGTGAAGAAGCCAGGAGATCTCCCCATCCTGCTATGACTAGCTCCCCTCTCCCCTGGTTTCCCAGAACCCAAAGAGGTATGAAGAGGGAGGAGCGGAGACAGGTGTGCCAGCAGAGTCTCAGATTGCTTAGGAAGGACCCAGGAGAGGAGGAGACATAGGCAGTTGTGGGAAGCTGGGGACTGTCAGTGCCCACAACTGCCTCATAGGGGCAAGATCTACCGGGAAGAGTTGCTGTGCTCATTAGGCTGGGCACTATTGAGTAGCTCTTGTTTCTTCTAATAAAGAGTTAACTCTATGTTTCTGAATGTGTTGGAAGCCACCCAGAGTGGCTGGGGCAACCCAGCCAGATGGTCAGGGTATAAATGATAAAATTATTATTATTATTATTATTATTATTATTATTATTATTATTATTATTATTATTACTATTATCTTCACTTACTCTGTGTAATTTATTGCTGGCCCACTCCTGACACCTGAACCTGACATTAGGTGCTTTAGGAACTCATGGTCTCCTGTATGCTTCCTTTTGAGTTCCTTACATCTGCTTAGCCTGTACCAAAATTGCCGGTGGGGGACCTGTTTTATCCTGCGAAGGACTGTGGGTGGTCGAGACTCCCTACCTGAAACCCTGGAGATCTGCTGCCACTCATTGCGGACACCACAGAGCTAGACAGGCCCCATGGTTTAACTTGGCCTGACTTAGTATGCAACTTGTTGTTGTTCTACTGCACAGAGAACTGCCTAAAGGCACATTGGGAATTTCAGCAAGAGCCAATCTCCATCCGTCCCCGAGCCATTTTGCATAAAAGAACATCAAGGGCTGTAATAATATTTTTAGATGCGCAGTACATTTGTTTAATTATTCTACACCAACTGTTGATAGGATTTGCATAGTGCTTAAAATAACCCCAAATCACTGATTCTAATCTACACCGTCTCTGCTCGCCGGATGAATGAGCTACAGTCTTGCTCAGATCTGCTCTCCAGACCTTCGATATCTAGGAACTCCAGTTTCGCACACAGTAGCTTGCAAAGAAGATGAGGCCTTGCATTCCAGCTTGGTCACGTTTCGGGATGCTTATTTTAATTTGCTTACAGAGTGGCTGCTGTCGTGCAAAATGCTCGCTTTCACTCAGCAGACAGACCGCTTGGAAATCCTTACTCAAATGGCACCGTGTATAAGCACTCTGGCAGACCACGATTTGGAACGTTTATCTCAATTAGCTAATGGAGGAGTTGTAAAACATGCAGAGCACGTTCTCGGCCACCGAGCCACAGCCCTTCATTTAAATGATCAACAAGTTCAAGGCAGCACAGGTTTATTCAATAGGAAGTCCCACGGGGTTCAGGGCTGGGTGTGGCAAATCTGACAACATTGGGTTTCTCTTGGTTTCTCACTTTTCCAGTCTTAAATTCAGTCCTCTGCATCTCTACATCAGGTTGAGGTCTTTGTGAAAATTCACAAGCATCTTAGTACAAATTTCTCCTAATGTACACCTTTTTGCAAAGCAATTTTGGTATGTCACTTTCACTAATATATGCATTTTTTCTGCACATTTTTACCCTGCTATGTGCATTTTTGGTATACATTACAATGATCCCTGTAACCACTTCAGGTTACAGACGCTTCAGGTTACAGACTCCGCTAACCCAGAAATAGTACTTCAGGTTAAGAACTTAGCTTCAGAATGAGAACAGAAATTGCGCAGCGGCGGCATGGCAGCAGCGGGAGGCCCCATTAGCTAAAGTGGTATCCCAGGTTAAGAACACTTCCAGAACGAATTAAGTTCTTAATCCGAGGTACCACTGTACTCGGCTGGATAATTGTGAAAATTCAGAGAAGTGCAAATCTCAAAGGATGGCTGTGTTTCAGTTTGCATGTTGTTTCAGGAAGTGCCAAATTAGGCAGGTTCGCCTTTAAATGTGAACTGAGTCAAATTTCTCCTCCATCTGTAGTTCAGTAGGACTTTTTCGCAGGTATAAGCTGCTCAGGGTGTCTGAGGCAACCTAGTCAGATGGGCAGGGTGCAAGTAATAAATTATTATTATAGGGTCCCAGGCTTAGGCTGCAATCCTGCACTCAGCTGCTGGGGAGTAAATCTTACTGTGCACAATTGGATTCACTTCCCAAGTAAGTATGCATCTTGGACCTGAGGGTTTCTTTCATTTCAGTTTGGCTGCTGTCGTATATGAAAATGTGGTGCAATGGTAAGAGAGCTGGAGAGATCAGGGTTCGAGTCCCCACTCAGCCATGAAGCTCACTGGGTGACCGTGAGGGGCAGCCACTGTCTCTCAGCCCAACCTCCCTCACAGGGCTGTTGTGAGGATAAATTGAGGAGGGGAAAAGAGTATATAAATGTAATAAATAAACATTTAAACCACAATCACATCATGTTAAACAGCTGAGGCTCCCCTCCAGAGAATCCTTGGGGACTGTAGTTCATTAAAAGTGCTGAAAGTTGTTAGCAAGCCCCTAAATTCCCAGAATTTCCCAGGAAGAATTGATTGTTAAATCAATCCTGGGTGAGAGAAAAGAGAAGATACCTCTTCTACAACAACACCTTCTGAAATACTTTAGAACTGCTTTTTGGACTACAACTCCCATCATCGCTTGCTAGCAGCACCAGGGGTCAGGGATGATGGGAATTGTAGTCCAAAGTTTGGGAAACCCTACTTAAAAAGTAACGTCCAACAATAAAATGTACTCCTTTTATTCTTTGGAGCAATTTGGAGCAATTGGGTTCTCTCCTATGCAAATTTGATTGACTAACTCATTCATTAATGGACGAAAATTCTTGCTGTTCTTGTTAATCTGGTGACAGTGTGAATGTCAATGTACATATTTGTATGAACTGCATATTTGTCTTAAAGCGACCTCCATTGTTCTTCCTTGTCAGGGACTGTGCGGAGGAGGGCGGCACAGATGAGGAATGGTGGGAGTCTCCCCCTCCCCATGCTCTGGATCTGGATCCTGAATCTTCCCAGGAGCAGGAGGACAGTATAGATTTGGAACAGTGGTTTGCAGAGGGACATAGTTCAGAAGACCGAAGTTGGGAAGAACTGGGTGATGAACAGCTAGGAGAAGAAGAACTGGGAGAGTGAGAGTTAACAGAATCTCTTTCACTGGAAAGCCTCCATCGGCTCAGCCCAAGGTCATGAAGAGCAGATAAGGTGGCAGCACAGAAAGCACAGTGGTTGTGAGATCAGGTTGCAAGACGCAGAAGTGACATGGGTGACTAGGGGTGAAGTGGGTGGAACCCTTAATTGGGAGCACCTCCATTCCGAGGAATGGATTCTTTGTTTTCTCTCGCTGGTAAGAGACTCCTTTCGCTTTGTTCTGCTTATCTACTGCCAAAGGTGGGGTGGGAGGAAGGAAACTGAGTCCCTGAAGCCTGACATTCCTCCACTGCCATAGGCAGTATGTCTCTGAATACCAGTTGTTGGGAATCGCAAGTGAGGAGAGGGTCGTTGCACTCAGATCCTTTTTGCAGGCTTCCCAGGGTCACCCTGTGAGAACAGGATGCTGAATTAGACGAGCTATGGGCCTGATCCAACAGGCTCTTCTTATCTTCTGATCACTGTGATCCTGCTCCATAGAGCTGACCCCTCCCTGTCTTTTGGACCACTCTCTGGAGCATAGTGCAGCACAACCTCCACCTACAAAAACACAGGTACCAATAGATGCTATATTCCTTTGCACGTCAGCCATCAAACACAGCCATGCATTCAATGTCATCGGTCATCAAGCCTAGGCAGATACTGCAGGCCATTGCATGTCAGCCATCAAACAACCAGTTGCTATGTGCCATTGCATGGTTAACATTATCAAAAACCGCCAATGCAGCTCGATAAATCCCACCTCGTCTATGAAACAATCCCCAATGCTAACTGCCCATATTCTCTCTTCTACTTCTGAGCCACCCCCATCACCCCCCTGCACCCACCCATCCCTGCTTCGCTTCCTCCCAGCAACGGCCTCAGAAGCGGAGCCGATTAATCCTGCTGCATTGGCGGAGCAGATCTGACTCAATTAGCTGCAGCTCGGAGGCTCGGGCGACAGCTCTGGGACGGCTTCCAAGTCTCATTCATCACCGCAGAAAATTCTCGAAGCCGGAGAGCCGAGGAATAGAGTGTTCTGTGTTCCCAGAGCCAAGGCGATGGGGGGGGGGGTGCAGAGAGCAAGGGGGCACGATGCCAAGCAATCTTAGGTTGGCTTTGGAGAACTATTTTGGAAAAGGTCTCTCTGCACGTGGTGGGCCTCCCCAGGGCAAAGGAAGGCTAGCGCTCACCCTGAACCCCTTCCAATTATTGCCTTTTTGTATGCTGGTGGCATAAGAAGGGGTGAATCTACCCATTTCAGTTTCTCTCGCTTTCTAATTTTTCCAATCTCATTTAGGCTGCCTATCCACTTACACATTTAAAGTACATAGATTCCCGCAAAGAATCCTGGGAACCATAGTTTGCCCTTATACAGAGCACCCTTAATAAACTACAGTTCCCAAGAATCTTTGGGGGAAGTTATGTGCCTTACCAGCGCTCGGGGTGTGCTTTAAGCATATGGTGTGAATGCAGCCTTAGTTGTTTCTAAGACTTCTTTCTTCCCCTTCCCCAGGAAGTCCCAGGAGGAGTAACAGCAATAAAATATACAATTATAAAAACAGATAAAAGCCATTGCAATTATAAAACAGGTAAAACTGTTCCAAGTGGGAACAGGATGGTATAAAGCCAGCCAAAGACATGTGTCCCACAAAACAAAATACCTTTAACTCTCAAGGGCCAGGTTAACAATATCCAAAGGCCTGGATAGCTTAGTTGGTTAGAGCGTGGTGCTGATAGTGTCAAGGTTGCAGGTTCGATCCTTGTATGAGACGGTTGCATATCCCTGCATTGCAGGGGGTTGGACGAGATGGTCCTCAGGAATTCCTTCCAATTCTGGAATTCTAAAGTTCAATTCACTGCATTTCTACACCAGTTTGCAATAAAAAATAAACAGCCCTCGTGAAAATTGACCCATTTCACAGAATCACAGATTTGTGGGGTTCAGAGAGACCCCAAGAATCACCTGCAATGCTGGAATAACAGCTCAAGAATCCCTGATAGATGGCTGTCCAAGCTCTGTTTGGAAACCTCCAATGAAGGAGATTCCACCACATTCCGAGGTCGTGTGGTGTAGTGGTTAAGAGCGGTAGACTCGTAATCTGGTGAACCGGGTTTGCTTCCCCGCTCCTCCACATGCAGCTGCTGGGTGACCTTGGGCTAGTCACACTTCTCTGAAGTCTCTCAGCCCCACTCACCTCACAGAGTGTTTGTTGTGGGGGAGGAAGGAAAAGGAGAATGTTAGCCGCTTTGAAACTCCTTAGGGTAGTGATAAAGCGGGATATCAAATCCAAACTCCTCCTCTTCTTCTTCTTCGTCCCTTCCACTGTCGAACAGCTCCTGCCCTCATAAAGTTCTTCCTAATGTTTGGTCAGGATTTCCTTTCTTGCCATTTGAATCCGTTGGTTCAGGTCCTCCCCCTCTGGAGCATCAAGAAACGAGCTTGCTCCATCTTCCATGTGACAGTACTTCAGATATTTGATGACAGCACTTCAGATATTTGAAGATGGCTATCATATCACCTCTCAGTCTCCTCTTCTCCAGGCTAAACATAATCCCTCAACCGTTTCTTATGAGCAGTGCCAGATTTACGTATAAGGTAAACAAGCTATAGCTTAGGGCCCCACTCTCTTGGGGACCCCAAAAAAATTTAAAGGAAAAAAACACACCTGGATGTACATTTCCAAAATATAAGATAAAAAACAAATAAATAAAACCTACATACAGCAACAGTGTTTTGTGTTGTGTAAGCTCCTATTTGTTACCTGCAAATTGCTTTAGATACCTATTAGGTCCATAAATTACCATTTAGCATATTTGTTGTTGTTTAGTCGTTTAGTTGTGTCTGACTCTTTGTGACCCCGTGGACCAGAGCACGCCAGGCACTCCTGTCTTCAACACAAAAAACGGCGGCAATTTGTTGTTGACAAAGGACAGCTGGACATATAAAGGGTCCCATTACCTTTAGTAGCTTAGGGCCTCATCAAACCTAAATCCGGCCCTGCTTATGAGGCAGACTGTTGATCATCTTGGTCTCTCTCCTCTGCATATGTTCCAGCTTCTCAACATCCTTCTTAAACTGTGGTACCCAAAACTGGACTCAGAACTCCAGCTGACAGTTGACCAAGGCAGAATAGAGTTCTGCTACTGCTTCCCTTGATCTGGACGCTGCTTCTGTTTGAGAGTACACACATTTCTGTTAATGCACAGGCTTTAGTGTGAAATTTTGCCTAAATTAGACATTCTTACCAGAAACGTCCCCTAATGTAATGCACTGCAGCATGTTATTTTGACTGTGCTACATACCAATATGCACACATCCCCCCGATATATACATTTTTAAAAGAACACAGTTTTGGATCAGAAGACTGCATCATGAAATTCAGAGAAGACCCGGTCTTGAAGGCTTGCCGTGTTTCCATCCACATGTGGTTTCAGGAACTGCAGATCTGGGTGGGTGTGCTGGCCCCGGGGATAATCTGAGAAACACGGTCCAGGTCAGGTCCCAAATCTGAAGGTTCCGCTAGGAGTCAGTCCAACACGGCCAAGGCAGGATACGAGGCAGGAAACCAGGCAAGGACAGGTACAGGATCTCAGGCAGGATCTGGCAAACAGCAATGTTGCTCCCGCAACCTGGGGCGGGGTCTGACAGCCTTTTATCTTTGTTGGGGTAACAGCCGGTCCTGATCCCCTGGCAACTCACTTCCCTGTTTCGCCCGAAGGCGAGCACTCCTCCTGCGAGTACTCAGGTCTCTCCTTCTCGCAGACCTGGGTCTCTGCAGCTCGGAAGACTTCGGTAGGTTACTAGACCCAGGGGCACCTCAGCCTCCCCTAACCAAACCAGTAGTGGAGCAGCTGTAAGTGATGGCCCAGCTGAAGGCAACGAGGTAATCCCCGCATCTGGAGCCAGGGCAGGCTCAGGCCCCTGACTCACCCCAGCTGGTGTTTGTTGCAGGGGAACCTGTGTAGACTGGGACTCTTCAGCATCAGGTCCCAGACTGGGTTCAGATGATGTCTGAAGCAAAGGATCCAGTGCAGACTGAGACTCCTCTGGTTCCAAGTCTGAGCCCGAGACCCCGGCCATCACAGTGGGTTTGCATTAAAATGTGACCTGAACTTAATTTCTCCCTCCGCGGACCCCCACCTCCAGCAACGAGGGCTTGATGCTCACTTGTGTCGGGCCTGAATCACCTCCCGCTCCAGATTGGGGAGCTCATCAGATGGATGAGCTCTCTCCGCAGCTCGCCAATAAAAAAAATTCCTCCACATGGAAAACTAGCCTAAGCTTCTCCCCCAACAAGTTATAAGGCTGTAACCTTAAGCATGCTTACTTGAAAGTTAAATCGATAGGACTGTCTTCAGAGATGGTGTGTTTTGAGATGGGAGCATTAAAATGAAATACGCAGTTCATTCTCTGTCAGGAATCTGCCGTGAGAGAAAGCCTCCCTCCCCGTTCAGAAATGCACTTTGCCCCCTCTGTAAGACACGTGCCGGAACATTTCCGCATACCTCCACAGGGGCTTGAAGCGTGATTTTTAAAATATGGAACCAGGGCTTAGCTTTGATCCAGATTGGGAGCGGGAGACTTCCCCCTGCCAGGTTTTTGGCTCATTAAGCGGGGAGAGCCTGGAAGTTCAGGATGTTGGTGTCTGGATCTGTGTGTGGCTGCCCCTTGTGTTGAACCCCTGAACTGTAGGTGACAGTCTTTTCAGTGAAGTACCTTCAGGCCCTAGACCAGGGGTCAGCAAACTTTTTCAGCAGGGGGCGGGTCCACTGTCCCTCAGACCTTGTTGGGGGGCCAGACTATACAGTGGTACTTCAGGTTACATACGCTTCAAGTTACAGACTCCGCTAACCCAGAAATAGTGCTTCAAGTTAAGAACTTTGCTTCAGGATGAGAACAGAAATTGTGCTCCGGCGGCGCGGCAGCAGCAGGAGGTCCCATTAGCTAAAATGGTGCTTCAGGTTAAGAACAGTTTCAGGTTAAGTACGGACCTCTGGAACGAATTAAGTACTTAACCTGAGGTACCACTATATTGGGGGGGGGGGGATGAACGAATTCCTATGCCCCACAAATAACCCAGAGATGCATTTTAAATAAAAGGACACATTCTACTCATGTAAAAACACTGATTCTTGGACCGTCCGCAGGCCGGATTTAGAAGGTGACTGTGCCGGATCCGGCCCCCGGGCCTTAGTTTGCCTACCCATGCCCTAGACTGTCTGTCCACTGAGGCTGGCCATGGGACAGGAAAGAGTATAAAAGGCTTCCTGTTCCATTTGAGTCATTCTTAGAATCATAGAATCATAGAGTTTGAAGGGACCCTGAGGGTCATCCATTCCAACCCCTGCAATGCAGAAATCTCAGCTAAAGCATCCATGCCAGATGGCCATCCAATCTCTGCTTAAGCAGAGTCCCAGCCTCCTGAGGGAGTCTGTTCCACTGTCAGACAGCTCTTACTGTCAGAAAGTTTTTCCATATGTTTAGTCAGAATCTCCTTTCTAGTAACTTAATTGCATTGGTTTGAGTCCTACCCTCCAGAGCAGGAGAAAACAAGTGTCCTCCATCTTCCATGTGGCAGCCCTTGAGATATTTGAAGAGGGCTATTGTATTTCCTCTCAGTCTTCTCTTTTCCAGGCTAAACATACCCAGCTCCTTCAACCATTCCCTTGACCTGGACACTCTACTTCTGTTGATGCAGTCTAGAATAGCATTAGGGTTGTTGCTTTTTGCTACTGCTGCTGCTGCATCACACTGTTGACTTATGTTAAGCTTGTGGTCCACTAAGATCTCTAGATCCTTTTCACGTGTGCTGCTAGTAAGCCAGGTGTCCCCCATCCTGTATTTGTGCATTTGGTTCTTCCTGCATAACTGCAGAACCTTACATTTGTCCCTATTGAAATTCATTTTGTTAGCTTGGGCTCAGTTCTCCAATCTGTTAAGGTTCTCTCTGAGCTCAGGTGTGTTCCTGAATCTGGTTTCTGGCTTGCTTCTTGACCCTACCTCAGTGGTGGAGAATGAAGTCCAGTTAACAGGCTAGGGAGCAATACCTTGCTCACCCACCCACCAGGCCAAATTGGACAGGTGGGTGGAGCTACCTACCTGTCAATCACCTGACACCACAATGACATCAAGTGAGCCATTTTTGCCCATGCAGATGATCAGCTGGTCTCCAGGCCCTGCCTAGCTCCATGTGTGGCCCCTGAGACCCCCAACGATCAGCAGATTGCCAATACTGTGTGCAGGGCTTTGCAGGAGCCAACAATCAGTTGATGGTTCTCCTCTTCTGCCATTTTACACTTAAAACAACCCTGCAAGGAAGGTTAGGCTGAGAAGCAGCGACTGGCCCAAAGTGACTCAGTGAGCTAGAAATTCAGTCCTTGGCTGGATCTAGACACTTCAAAAAAATGTTTCAGGAAAACGTGCTCACAATGCGAAATAATTGTCAAAGAATCGAACTCTACAGTGCCCTCTGGTGTCACAGTGTTATAACGCATTTAGAACATTTTTTTTTTTACTAATGTAGCTGAGTCCCTTGTCTCAACGCTCTAACTACTACATCACACTGGCTCTTTCCCCCTCCCAGTTATATCCTTGCAACAACCTGGTGAGGTAGCTTGGGCTGAGTGGGGGATTTGAACTCTGGTCTCCCAGTACCAAGTCTAACACTCTAACCATTACACCGCCTCTGGGCCTCCTTGCGACGGACGGTCTCCTTGCTAGCAAATCCTAAGAACAGCTAGGAAACAGGACAATCGCCAGTGGCTTCCTGCTGCCTCTTCCCACGTGGAGGACACTTTCCTCCCTGTTCCTTCCCTATCGCAGCTCATTTGCCAGGTACCCCCATTCTCAGCTCAGCAGGAACTCCCTACGGGACTCACTAATGTTGCTGCAACATCCCCCACAGGGGTTGACAACAACGAACTCACCCTCTCTGTGGCTCCAAGCAATTGGAAACTCTGCTCTCTTGTTGCATCACACACTCTCTCTCACACACACACACCCATTAAGGTCTCCAGGCTCCTAATGAGTCCCAGGCAAGCACTCACAAATGTGGCTCTAGGAAACGATAATTGGCTAAGGAAGACAGGAAGAAACCAGCAGCATCTGCCCTAAGGGACATTCCATCAACTGGCTCAGCATCTGATCCAGTCCCTGGTGTGCTGGGGGGGGGGGGAGAGAGAAAATGATAGAATCAAAGGACTGAAGGGGGTTCTTGTTGACACCATCTACACCAAACTTCTGTCTGATCTAGAGTAGCTCCAAATGATGTCCTCCAGCCTCTGCTTGGAGACTTCCAGGGAAGGAAAGCTCACCTCCTTCCTTGGTCCCTGGTTCTGTTCTCAAGCTGCTCCCACCTTCAAGACATTCCCCTACAGCATATTTGCAGGAAGGTGGTGGATGGCTAATGAAGGATCCTTTATGAGAGGCAGGGAAGGAAAGATCTCCCAGGGTGGGGGTCCAGAAGAAGACATTGAAGCTCCCAGCTGAGAGCTGGGAACGTCCACCCCCTTTTGTGTGAAACAAGGGTTAAGATCTACTCCTGACAGAGGGCTTTAGATTCTCTCTCTTTCTCTTTCTCTTTCTCTTTCTCTTTCTCTTTCTCTTTCTCTCTGTCTCTCTTTTCCCTCCTATTTCCTCCCTCCCTCCCTGCATGCCAGGTGCTGCAAACTGCAGGAGGGAAGAGTTGCTCTCGCACTCGGGTCCGGCTCTTGGCCTCCCCTTAGGTATCTGGTTGGCCCCTGTGAGGGCAGGATGCTGGACTGCATGGGACACTGGCCTGATCCAGCAGGACTCTATGTTTCTAATGCTCAACTGAAATCTAACCTCCTTTAACTGCATGAGAGCTAATTGTGCCCTGTGGATCTGCAGCGAAGAACACGTCTTTGCTCTCTTTTGTGTGACAGACCATCCAAAATTTGATGGACACCATCATGCTCTCCGTTGAGTCTTCTGTTCAACAGGCTAACCATGCCCTGTTCCTTCAACCCTTCCCCACAGGACTTCTTTCCCATATTCCTGTCCTTGAACTCTGATAATCTTGGCTGTGAATCCTGGAAGACCTGCTCCCTGCCCTGCAAGCCTTTTCCCACCTAGCCTGGTTGGGTGGGGCCGTGACTGACTCCAGCTACAAAATCTGAGGCTGCTGGAGAAGCCAAAGATCATACCTTTCAGTAGTTTCTGGTGTGGGGCAGATGTTGTATCTAGACTCCCGCTCCCCAGCTGCCCTTTTCTACTTAGAAATCTTCTTGTGCAAATTGCTGGAAGTTATTTTTACCCCTGCTTTGACGGACTGGCACATGGATTTATTGAGGTCATGTTTTCCCACAAGTTTCATTTTTGCAGCAAATCACGTTCAGTCCAGGGACCTGGGCTGAATCAAACTTCTTTTCTAAGTATATGCAGCCGTCAAAGCTTGCTGCTTAAAGAAAAAAAGGGGGCAGAAGTGAAATAAAGACAGGTTGTGTTCTTGGTCATGCAGGACCCAGAATTTTGTCTTGAGAGGAAGGAGGAAGCCGCAGAAGCTGTGCCTGACGTTCGGCTTCCGAGGCAAAGTTCGCAAACCGGAACACCTACTTCTTGTGAACTAAGCTGTCCAAAAACCAAGGTACGACTGTACTTTGAACCTGACCGAGTAGCAAACCAGCAAGTGGTGCAATTCTCTCAGCAACAGAGTAATGTGTTGCCAGTAATCTGGTCCTGTGAGCCATCTGGTCCCTGCATTCTGCACCAGGGCAGCACCGCAAAAAGCATGTTACAGTAATAAAGTCATCCCCATGAACGATACAGTCCAAGCCAAATTGGTGGAGGTGGCCCTAGCTGACTCTTCTCCACATAACCTGGGGTTCTGTCTCTTGGTCACACTAGGGCGTGATGCAACCAATAAATAAAGCAATGAATAAAAGAACCTCTGAAGGTGGTTCTTTGGAGGTTCTTAAGCAGAGGTTGGGTGGCCACCTGTTGGGGATGCTTTAGTTGTGGTTGCATTGCAGGGGGGTGGTCAAGATGACCCTCTTCAAGTCTATGTTTCTATGATTCTATAACTCGCCCCTCCCCCTCGAGATTTCTACAGTAGGAAATCAGTATTTCAGAGCTGAGGAGGATTCTGACCAGCACTGGTGGAATACCAACAGGAGTGAGGAGAGGTGAAAGTGGAGATGCATCTGCTTGCCCAGCCTTGGAGAAGGATAAAGTTTCTGGTGGTATTTATCTTCATTCTAGTAGAAGATCTTTCTCCAAGCCTTTCAGGTGGAGATCCATTTCGGATTTGAAATTGTTTTTCCATTCGAAATTGCTTTTTGTTGTTTGTGTATAGGGTTTTTGTTTTATTTTTTGCTGTTTTCTTTTCTTTCTTTCTCTTTTTACAGTGAAACTGCTTTGAGGTATTTCATGGGAAGTGATTCACAAATGGAATCGAATAAATAAATAATAAATCCTTTGATTTCTGCTTCTGCTGCCTGTTTTCTCTGCAACAGGTACTAATTTTCTGATCTCGTTTGATTTATTTTGTTTTGATTCGGATAGATAGGTGATGAATAGATAGATTAAAAAGTGATTTTAATCTCTATCGTATGCAGCCTTGAGACCTTTGGGTTGTAGAGACAGGCTGCAAATAAATAGAAATGTAAATAAATAAATTCCTAACCCCACTTACCCAGGAGCTCAGACCCACTGAATTAAAAAAAGGACTACCCAGAAATGAACAGACATTACTCAGGATTGCAGAGTAAATACACCACCTGCTTACACGTCATGCATGTCAAGCCTTCTTACAGCACTGCAAGAGTCACGGCTCCCCTGCCGCCGCCACCCCAAGAATCCTGGGACCTCTAAGTTTCTTAAGGGCCACCAGGAGTTGTTAGGGGACCCTTAGCAAACTACAGTTCCCAGGATCCTTTGAGAAGTAGCCATGGCTGTTAACGAAGCTTAAGCGTGCTTTAAAGGTATGGTGTGGTTGTTTCCTTAGCCCTGTATCCAAGTCAATCCAATGCTCTGTCCGTGGTGCCGAAATATTATCTGGATTCTCCTACCCTCTCAGTTTGAAGGGACACTGGTGGCGCTGTGGTCAAAAAAGCACAGAGCCTAGGGCTTGCCAATCAGAAGGTCGGCGGTTCGAATCCCCATGACGGGGTGAGCTCCCGCTGCTCGGTCCCTGCTCCTGCCAACCTAGCAGTTCGAAAGCACAAAGTGCAAGTAGATAAATAGGTACCACTCGGGCGGGAAGGTAAACGGCGTTTCTGTGCGCTGCTCTGGTTCGCCAGAAGCAGCTTAGTCATGCTGGCCACATGACCCAGAAGTTGTACACCAGTTCCACTTCGGCCAGTAAAGCGAGATGAGTGCCGCAACCCCAGAGTCGTCCACGACTGATCTTTAATGGTCAGGGGTACCTTTACCTTTACCCTCTCAGTTTAAGGAACCAAACCCAGATGTCTCTCACCCAACACACACATACACACACTTCTTTAATTATAGATTTATAGAGATGGGTGAGGAAAACATCCTTCAACAGTTTCTTTGCATCTTCCATGGTGTCCCAGAGCTGGCCACTTTCTCAGTGCAGCAAGCACACTCTTCCATTGTCTCCCCAAACAGACAGATGTCATCCTTGTTGCTGCAGAGTCTGAGACAAGCAGACTTCTGAATGCCAGCTGCCTGGCACCACTGGTGCAAAGAGCTCTCTTGTGCTCCAGTCTTGCTTGTGTCTTTCCTCCACAGGTATCTGGCTGACCACAGTGAGAACAGGATGCTAGGCTAGGTGAGCCATTGGCCTAATCCATCCGGCCTAACCCGTTTTAGGTGTGTTAGGAAATATCTCTGCTTATGGCTCTAGAGAGCCTCTGCCAAGCAGAGCAGCCATGGATGCAGAGCAGGGGAACCTGTGCCCCACCCCCCAGCCCCATGAGCCCCAGTGAATGAAGTCTATGTTAGAGCGTGGTGCTGATAACGCCAAGGTTGTAGGTTCAATCCCCATAAGGGACAGCTTCATATTCCTGCATTGTGGGGGGTTGGGTTAGATGATCCTCGGGTCCCTTCCAACTCTCTGATTCTATGATCAGGAACCACGGGTGTTGTAGTTCTGCTGGAGAGCCACAGGAACCCCCATCCCATGGGCTATATGACTCCTCAAACCAGCGGCGTAGCGTGGGTTGTCAGCACCCGGGGCAAGGCAAGTAATTTGCGCCCCCTAACCCAGGGCAAGGCAAGTAATTTGCGCCCCCTAACCCGGGGCAAGGCAAGTAATTTGCGCCCCCTAACCCCTAACCTGCCACCGCTGCCAGCTTCTTCTTGCTGCTGCCTGGGCTGGTCTGGTGTGGTTCTCTCCCGCGCTCAGCGCTGCGCTGGGCAGCCGCTGCACTGTCCCTCCCCCAGATAGTCCCTCGCTCTCTCTCCGCACCGCACGCCTGGCACCCACCCCCTCCACAGTGGGCGGCGACCCAGCGGCTCGGATCGGATTCGCACAGCCAGCACTGCAGTGAGAGAGAGTGAGTGAGCCAGGTAGGGGCAGAGAGCTGCGAGTGCGAGCGCCCCCCCCAGATGTTGCACCCGGTGCGGCCGGGGCCCCCTGCACCCCCCACGCTACGCCACTGCCTCAAACTCAGGTGATGAGGAATCTGCAGCCCACCCACTCAGCAGCAGAAAACATATCCCAGGTTTAGTCCCCAGCACCTCTAGTGAAAGGACCAAGGAGCAGGAGATGAGCTAGGCTCCTTCTCCACTTGTGGCTCTGGAGAGCTGCTGCCAGCCAGAGTAGGCAGTATTGGGCCCGGTGGACAAATAGTCAGATCTGGCATAGCACAGCTTCTTATATATCTGGTGGCACCCTTTTAATTTTTTAAAAAATAACTCTAATCTGCAGCAAGAATGCTATTTGCAAAATCTAGGTCCTCTGCTTTCGTTGTGCCCCCTCTTTTTCTCCCTCTGGGTCAGGATCCTCACAGCTCCGCAGAGCGGCATAGAGCGGCTTCCCCCACCCCCACCCTCCGGCAAACCTATACTGTTGCCTTAGCCTTTTGCCGCCGTGCCCCTTTTCTCCACAAATGCACATCAAAAGCAGGCAGCGCATGTCAGCGGCGCAGCTCTGCTAAATGGGAACGTCCAGCCGCACAACAAGACACTGAAATGACCTGCTTGAAGCTTCAAGGCAGAGCCGGGGTATTCATCTGTCGCCTGGCAGCGACTTCAGGCGCTTTGGATCACATTTTATCTCTCTCCCTCGTCTTCCCCACCCCCTCCGGCCCTCTCACTGCAGATCACCTTCTAAAACACATGGCAGGAAGCCAAGAAGCCACAAAACCACAGGCTCTGACCCTCCTCCTCTTCTCCCCTCCCTCCTCTCACCTTTTTTTTTGTGGGGGGGGGAGGAGGGTGTCACCTGGCAAAGCACCAAGTTAAATTGCAGAGATGTCTTTGCATCGCCCTCCTATTGTCACACGCAGGATTTCTTGATTCCGTCTCATTAGCCAAACCAATAGGCTGGTCGGAAGGTCCCTGCCAATTCTCCTGCCCCCTTCTAGGACATTTGCCTCTCTTCTCTTTATTTCTTTTGGAAGGGAAGGGCTGAAGGTCCAAGGTAGGGCACATGCTCTGCGTGCAGAAGGTCCCAGCTTCAATCCCCAATGGTGAGGGGAAGGCTCCTGCCTTAAACCTGGGAGAACTGCTACCAGACAGTGAAGACATCACCTAGCTGGATGGACCAAAGATGTGGTTCGATATAAGGTGGCTTCCTAAGCTCCTGTATGGAAAAGGCCTTTGTTTAGTAGTTAGAGCATCTGCTCTGCATGCAGAAGGCTCTGGGTTCAATCCCCATAGTCTCTCCAGGTAGGAAAAGACTCCCTGCCTGAAACCCTGCCAGTCAGTTTTTTCCTAGGTAAATAGCAGGACAGGCTCTCAAGTCAATGTACAAATCAGGGCTCCCCTCCTTCTCTCTCTCTCTCTTCCTCCCTCCACACAGCTTCCCTTTGTCCCTTCGCTAACCACTGCCAAGTGCTAAATATTCTCTACCTCTCTCCTTCTGTCGTTCTGCCAACACACACACATCTCCAGTCTCCTTTTCCCTTCCTTCCTTCCTGCACCACCCCCAAGCATCCCACCTTCCAGGCCAAAGTTTCAAAAAGCCACCGCCAAGAGAGAAATCACCACGGCAAACACGGCTCGGAGAAATCTGCTGCCTATTTCACAGGATCGCTTTGGGCGTCCGAGGTGCAGTGAGTGGCACAACAGTGTATCTGACTATGGGGCAGCTGAAAAAGTGTACCCAAGAGATTCTAAGAGGTTGTTTTAAAAAGACAGAGAGAGAGAGAGAGAGAGAGAGAGAGAGAGAGAGAGAGCGCTTTAAAAGAATGTGTAGGAATATATATTTACAAATAAAGCTGTATTCGATGGCTGAAAGGACATATGATTTTTGACATGACTGAGAATCGCATAGCCAGGGACGGAGAACTTTAAAGTGTTAAGACCAGAAGGCGGAAAATATGAAAACAATGAGAAGAGGCAGGAATGAAGATTTGGAGATATGCTTCAGAGGTCCAGACTATGGGAAGCCTGGAAAAATTAATAATTACAATTTGGACTACAATTTGGTCGCTGTTGTGTGTTTTTTTAGTTTATTGTTTTTAATTAGGTTATTATGATTCAGATGTGTTGATTGGCTGTTTTTATTGGAAAATCAATAAAAATGTTTTTAAAATAAAAAATAAAAGAATGTATAGGATTTCATCCAGTGGCTCCCCACACACCCCCACCGCCCACATCCTTAGGAAACAACTGTGATTCCTGCATTGTAGGTGGTGTGGGACTCGATTACCCTTCGGGTCCCTTCCAACTCTACAATTCTATGATTCTAACAGCAGCCTGTGCCCCCACCCCCACAACCCTCACACACAAGAGCTGGTAGGTCTAGAGCAGGTGTGGGGACATAGGAGCCAACTCCATGGGGCTGAGGTCCATTTGCCTCCCCCCACTCAATAAAATATTTGTGGTGCCCTGGGCCCTCCAAAGCTGATTGGCATTTCCATTCAAATGGGGGTGGGTGTTGCCATGTCAGGTGATTGATTATGCGGGGTGGGGCTTACCTGCCCCCTCCCACAATATTGTATTCAAGTTGGAAGGCCTGTGTGGGGAACCTCGGTTGATGAACTAGGCCTGGTGGGAGTTGTGGATCAGTAACATCTGAAGGGCTGAAGATTCCACAAACAAGGTCCAGAGTCACCAACTAGCACACCAGGATGGACTGTCAAGTAGCCTAGCACTAGGGCAGGAGTAGAGAACCTGGGGCCTGGAGGCTGGATGTAGCCCTCCAAGCCTCTCCCTCAAGCCCTCGGAAATCTTCCCAGGCCATGACCTTTATCAGCTTTCCTTGATTGTTCTTGCCAGGCTGGGATGTGTCCTGGAACTTAGATAATGCCTCCTGCTGGCCTGAGTGGATGATAGAAAGTGGTGCATGAGTGGGCGTAGAAAATGCCTTGCTCATCCTGCATGATGACCTGTGTTGGGAGAGAGGTAGGGGGAGTGCAACTTGGTTACTTCTCCTTGATCTCTCAGTGGCTTTAGATCTTAAGAAGATCCCTGCTGACTCAGACCAAAGGGGCATCAAATCCAGTGTTTCCTAAACATAGGTCTCAAGATGTTTTTTGGACTACAACTCCACTCCCATCATCCCTAGCTAGCAGGATCAGTGGTCATGGATGATGGGAACTGTAGTCCAAAAAACAACAACAGCTGGAGACCCAAGTTTGGGAAACACTGATCTAATCCAAAACTCTTGTTTCTCACAGTGGCCAAGATCATGCTGTTTAAACCTGCGACAGGGTGGTGGGTTTTATCATCTGACAACAATTTAAACCAATTTTCAGAGCCCATGTTAATTCCAGCAAAGGAAGAGGCCCAGTTGAATTTTTTTAAAAAATGAATAAATGCGATCCACACCATCTTCCATGAGCACGGCAAGGGCTCATCTGATCCTTCTCTGTCTCTCACACACACAGACCCCATTTTGCTACATCTACGTCCGTGCAAACTCTATGTTATCTCCCCAACCAGATTTGCTTCAGAGGAAAATTGAAGCTACATTGAGTGCTAACACGAAGAGACCGAAACAAGCCCTGGAAAAATGTCACTCAGCGGTTCCCAGGAGCTCATAGTTTATTAGCATGATATATGTTGTGCAAACACAGTTTAGCATGTCGTCTCCACATAACTAGCTTTTCATGGACTCTTAGCTTTATCTGGTTTCTCCGGCTCGGTGTTCAGTGAGCGCATGCATGTAAAGCTGCAGGGAGTCTTATTTTGTTGTTGTTGACTTCTTCCAAACGCACGTTCTCCCCCAAATCAAGCACAGGGGTTTTCCCTCAAGGGAAAGGGAAACTCCCACAAGCCTTTAGAAATAGCAAGTGACCTGAAAGATCATCTCATCCCTTATACACCCTGTCGATCCCTGTGCACTGCAGTTGAGAGGCTCTCTGCAGATACCATCCTGTAGGAAGAGCCTTGTAGCTGGATCAGGCCTGTGGCCCATCTACTCCAGCATTTTGTGCTAACCAGATGCTTATGGGAACACCCCCAAGTCCTCTGATAACTTTTATATTGCTGTAACAGGCCCTGGGGCCTTTTCGTGAAGGGCAGAATGGGTTAATTAGGTAGGTTCACCTTTAAATGCAAACCAAATCGTAATTTGTCCTCTGTCCGTATCTGCTGCTGTCGGGGATTAAACCTGGGGCCGTCCGTGCAAAAGTGAGACAGAAGCATAGAACTGTAGAAGGTACCCTGAGGGTTATCTAGTCCAAGCCCCTGCAATGCAGGAATCTCAGCTAAAGCAACCATTGCAGTTGGCACAAGTGCATGCCCGACTACACTCAGCTTTCCCTTGCCTCTGTATCATGAAACCCAAGAGGACATGATCACTTCCTCCCAGGGTTCCCAGTACTTCCAGTTTGTCAATCAGTTCCTCTCTGTTGGTGAGGACCAGGTCCAAGATAGATGATCCCCTTGTTGCTTCTTCCACCTCCTGGGAAATGAAATTGTCAGCAAGACAACAGAGGAATTTGTTGGACCTTACATCATTTGCAGAGTTTGAATTCCAACAGATATTGGGGTAGTTGAAGTCCCCTGTAACTACTATAGCTTTCCTTTTGGTAATCTGATGTAGGAAGGCATCATCCAAGTCTTCAGTGTGGCTTGGGGATTTACAGCAGACACCCAGTTAGGTCACTGTTGCTTCCCTCTGCTACAATTTTTACCCATATACTCTCAATCTGCTTTCCATGCTCCAGGTCATGGGTCTCTTCACAAGTCTACACGTCCTTTACATATAATGCTACTCCTCCTCTTTTCCTGTTTGGTCTATTCCTTTTGAATATGTTATACCCCTCAAGTTCTACATTCTATTCATGAGCCTCACCTCACCAGGTTTCAGTAATGCCTATTAAGAGCTCAAATTTGTCTTGCTTTTTTCCATACTCTGTGCATTAGTATAGAGACAACTGAAACATTCAGTTATTCCCTCCAGCTGCTTCCTTCTTTTAGTTTCCTACCTGACTACTATACTACAACCTTTTCCTTAAATCTGCTGCTCTTTTGTGGCACCTGGCCTGAGGAGACTGCTTCTTCTCTGAGTAATAGTATGGCTGGCCATGCCCAAATGATGCCAAACTACAACTCTCAGGCAACTTACGGGGGGGAGAGACCATGAACACTAGTCTGAATGCTAAGCATCACTGCCACCACTATCACCTGTCCCCTGGCCTTCAGCCAAAAGGGCTCCCAGAGTGGCTCCCAGAGTGGAAAGCTTAGTCAGAAAACTGCATTGCAAAATTCAATGAAGTGTGAATTCCGAAGGATGGTTGTGTGTCAGTTTGTGTATTGTTTCATAAAGTGTGAAGCAGGCAAGTTCACCTTTAAATGTGAAGTGAATTTATCCCTCATCCCCAGTTCTGAACTTAGTTTTGGATTTCCATAACATCGGTTGGTGTGCCAGCAGGAAGGTGCCAAGAAGATCAAGGAGGGCGTAGTTCAAGCGAATGCCATCTGTTGATCTCACCTCTCCTACCCAAGCACCATATGTCTGATACAAGACAGAATGGAGAATAGCATCCCTGATGGAATGCGCTTGGGTGGGGGTGCGCCACTGAACCCCTTCCCCAGGGAGCGGGAGCCCCAATTCTGTTGTTCCCTTTTTTAAAAATCCAAACCACGGATTACAGGAATGCTGGCAGAGTAATTATTTTTCCCTGTCAAACATTGTGCTCGGCTTGCCTGTCTGCAGACAGCTGGAGAGTGATGAATCCTTTTGTGTTTGCGGCAGCCTTGGACTAGCTCCAGGAAGGAAAGGTGCAAACTGGCGGCAAGGTTTGCCATTAACATTCGCCATTGGAGGCGATTTCCCCCGAGTTGCTCCATCTGTGCTCGCAGCGCTCGGCTGAAGATGGAGGAGGAAAGAGAGTCTCAAGTTAAGGTGAGATGGGGGGACAAGGTGCATACAGACATACCATTTGGGGTATTATCCCTGAGTCACACTGCAAGGGTGCAGCATCGTCACTGAGAACAGAAGTTTATGAGCTGGAAATCAGCAACACATAGCTAGGTTATGGCAGGGATTGACAAAGTGGTGCCCGTAGGCACAATGGTGTCCTTGTGGTTTTCCCATGGCATCCACAAAGCCTCTGAATTCTCCCCCCTGAAACACTACCCCCTTGGTCATGAGGTGGTGAGGAGGGATGGGAGGAGGCAGTGATTTCTATCCTGTCCTGGATTTGTTGCAATTTGCTCTGTTTCCATTCTGCTTCAGTGCAACTTCCACTGAGCCCTGCATTATTCACCTTGCTATCCTCTATGGCTGAATGTAATCAAATAGTTAATGAATTTCAGTGGAAGGGAGTGTGTCAAAAGGAATACGTAAAGTAATATAATCATTTACATTAATGTTTGCAGACTAACAAAAGTTCAGGAAGGCTGCTTGTATTCGCTTGCGTGATTTCCGCTCCTGACCTCAGACCAACATGTGAATTGTGACACTTTCCACTCCCACTTCCATTTTCAGTGGAATCCTCTGACATCTCTAGTGGTGCGGATGGTTACCATTTTCTCCCTTGTAAAGTAGAACTAAAGGAGGAAGTTGGAAGAGTGCCACTCTCCCGCTTCTTCTTTCTGCTCTCTGTGCTTTTAAAATGCAGCTTAATTCTACTGGGCTTGACTTTTCACAGATCTCTGAAAATGAAGTATGTGTGTGTGTGCTTTCTCTGTGTGTGTCTCTTGGGGAAGGGACCGATCTAGCGAAGAAGGGGAGAAAGGTGAACCCACAGCATGCACTCAAAAATCCAAATGTGCCATCTCAACCAAAAGAAGGGAACTCACTCTGAAACTCACCTACAGGTGGTACTTAACACCATGGAAACTGGTCTGATACGCCCAGGAACCTCACCAAGATGTTGGAGTGGCTGCACCTCCACAGGTACATACCTCCTCATGTGGTGGGAACGCCCCAAAATCCAAACCTTCTGGACAGCAGTCCTACAAGAGATGTGCAAAATAACTAAAAAGTTATTAGAACTCACCCCCAGAACTAGCCCTACTGAACATCTTCCCAGATCATAATGACCACTCACATTATACAGAGCTTATCACCCACCTACTCTCAGCAGCCAGAAGCCTCATAGCCAGACACTGGAGAGACTTGTCAGGAGTAAACATGGACCAATGGTATCAAACTTGTATGGGAAACACCTTACTAGAAAAGCTAACCAATAAACTGAAAGTGACACAGGGATAAATAGAAGAGGACACCTTCACCCCAGTATGGTTTCCCTTTATCACATACACAACCCAACAAGACAATGACAAGAACGCACCAACAGCATACGAATCAGTCTGACTTACCTGACCCAACAAGCCCTCCACCCCCTCACAAATGCAAACAAACCCCCACTACAGAAAACCAACCACACCCTGCCTCCCAATACCTCTCACTACCAAGGAAATGTAATAAATGAACAGAAACCTACCCAGTTGATGCTGACAGAAAACACTACACATACACTCTCCCCCCTCTTCTTTCCCAATCTTATACTGTACTCAACATTAATGTCTCACAACAAATGCAACTGATTTCTAAGAAAGGCTGTACAATCTGAAAAAAGAGACAAGGCATGTACTTTTGTAAACCAAGAAAATCTTTAATAAACATTTTTTTAAAAAAAGATTGGGAATCCTTGGATTATGGAATACACTGGATACAAAAAGGGGGGGTGATTTGAAAGCCACTGGTTTCAGTGGCTTTAAATAGTGTTTAGCAAATTTGCGAGGATGAGAAGGTCTACCACAGCGATGGGGAACCCACAGCCCTCCGGTTGGCCTACTTTCCCATCAATTTAGACAAATTTTAGGTAGAAAAGTCTATCGAAAGATATAATCTGTGATAGCTAAACAGACCCTCCATCTTCAAAGGCAGTAAATCTCCAAGCACAATATGACGTTCCGCAAACAATGGGTATCACTCTTCTTATTTCAGCTCCAGGTACTTTTCAAGAGCAAGAAAAGTAAACATCCTCACCTTGGCCATGGGGCAGTAAGTTGTGGATTTGGGAGGAGCTCAGAGGCTTCCCACCACAGAAGGACCTCAAAGATGCCATTCCACCCATGGGAGCCACATTGCCAACCCTTGATTTCCCATCCCTGGCTCTGGGCTTCCTAGAGTCAAACCCCACTGCCTGACACATAACAAATGTCCCTCTGTAGCAACCACAGCTCTTTAATCTCCCTTACCTCCCAAATGGAATCCAACTCAAGACGCCAACACTGGTAAACAAGTTGCAAGTTGCATCTCACAGCACAGGCAAATGCACACATACACCGTTGTCTTCTCCACTGATGAGTTTTGCTTTTGAGCTCTTCAGATTAACAATGAAGAACTGAAATGGAAGATCCTATTGCTCGATAGATTACACTTGGCAATGTAAGGGCCAGGAGTCACACCGCTTCCCATTGGGGGAGCAAGACAGCTGACTGATTAGACCGAGGTTTCAATGACCGAGACAATCCATTAGGAGGACACCTTCCCAAATTGAGCTGCCTTGCTTAGACTGGCCTGGAAATGGATTCCATGATAGGGAGTCAGGCCAGTCGCCTCCGACTCCAGTGATGAATGCTCCTTCTTCAAAATCTCCGCAACAAGAAGCAAAGGCAAGGATGTGGAGAAAGCAGACGGAGGAGAAAGCTTCTCCCTAGCTCATGATACAAGAGCATCATAATACGTCCAGTGAAGCTTTATGGTGGGAGATTCCAAACAGGCAAAAGGAAATCCTTCTCCACACAAGCATAATTAAACTACGGCATTCATTGTAGCGATGCCCACCAACTTGGTGGCTTTCAAAGAGGATTCAATGAACTCATGCAGGATGGAGGCTATTGGTGGCTGGATTTCTTGCACCAAACAAGGAGTTAGAGCATGTGGCATAGAAGACTCCCCCTAGGTTTTTATCACCTTCTGCATACAAAGCATTTGCCTAGTTATTGTCACTTGTGCCTGGACCCCTCCAATGCTGTGATAGAAACTCTTAAGTGCATGGTTATGGGTTTGAGCCCCACGAGTTGAGGGACTGGGGCATGGTAACTTGGTTGGTAGAGCATGCGACTCGTAACCTCAGGGTCATGGGTTCGAGCCCCATGTTGGGCAAACGATCCCTGCATTGTAGGGGGCTGTACTAGATGACCCTCCAACTCTACAATTCTACGAGTCTGCCCATGGAAGCTGGTCCATGAGGGCAAATGGGGCACTGCCCACCAGCCTCAGTCTGCCCTGAGCCAGCCCCGCACTTGCCTGCCTTCTCACTTACATTTAATCCAGAGGGCAGCATTGCCTGTCAGCTTTCCCCTCTTCCTCCATGATCTCAGTGTTCCTTTTAAAGAACTCAGCAGGGAGCAGGATGGGAGCAAAACAAGAATTATTTGGCTCCGCCTCCCATTGACTCTGGCTCCGCCTCCCTCTGGCCTCTCTGCCTTCCACCCCACCAGCTCCAATTGTCACCAGCCACCACTGTTCTCCTCCACAAGCTCCACTCTTTCCCTCTCCCGGCTGAGCCCTTGAATCTCATCCCCCTCTGCGCAAGGAGTAGACAGTTAATTGCTACTAACAGTCATCTCCCCAATTTCATTTTTATACTCCAAAATCTCCTCGTAGCCGTTTTCCTCCCAAACATCTCTCTTATGTACAGAGTTGTTTTCTTCTCCATAGCTCAAGAGACAACGTGTCTTTCTTTACAGAAATAAACAGGACATTTGAGGGGGGGAGGTGAGGGAGAACACACACAAATGAATCACGCTTTTCATAATTTTTGAAAAGGGAGGGAACCGTTTGGAAGCAAAGGCAATTATCTCTCCGCATTAGAAGCACCACCAGCTCGCGCCAATTTGCCACAAGGCTGAAAATTTGTACGGGCTTCTCAAAACCCGATGCGCGGCGCGATCAGTTAAAAAAAAGAAATCTCCATTCTCATCTCGCCGTTTATATTTTTTACTTTGCAGCAGGAATGAAGAGGAGCAGCGTAGTATTTTACTAAGTGCTCTGAAGGTCTGGGAACTAAATGTATAGAGATAGAGATGTATATTTAAATGCTAATTTCTTTCCCTTTTCTCCCCCAAGAGTATTGCGGGGTGTGGAAGCAAGCATGTCATTTTGCAAGGCAGCTGAAGTCAAAGCGGAAGGCGTTGGAGATCATCCTGCAATCTGCTGCCATAGCGGAGCAAAGATCTTGTCAAAACAGCAGTGCCTGACTCTGATTTAAGCTGTTTGCTTGCTAATGGTCAGAGATGATCAGCTCACGCAGGGCTGGAGGAGCGTCAGACCCAGGGGCCAAGTGCAGCCCCACAGACCTCTCTGTTCAGTCCCAGACCACATTCCTCACTGCCCCCAACATTGCACACTGGCTGGAGTCAGTTGTCAAACTTCAATAATGTTTCTTTGTTTGTCCAGATGGAAGACAGAGAAGGGTATGTAAGTGCCTAGAGTACAAAGGTAGAATTTGCATTTGTTGCCCCGCCCACTTTAACTCTTGTTCCCACCCACCATTGGCATGTGACTCAGAAGCTAAGCCCTCCCATTAGAGTCAGTGAAACTGGTTTTTAATAGTAACAACAACAACATGAACACTCCTTATTCTCTCCACCACACGCATAAGAGAGCCCATACCCCTCAACTATTCAATTTCTCGGGAGGTGACAAAGAGTGTGCTTAGGATCCCAGATGGATGACCATCTGTCATGGATGCTTCAACTGAGATTCCAACATTGCAAGGGGTTGGACTAGATGACCCTCGGGGTACCTCCCAACACTACAGTTCTATGATTCTATGACTCTACTGCTAGCCAGTGTAGACCATAACAACCCAATGAGCCTGATTCATTATAAGGCAGCTTCCTACATCCCTAAGTACAGTGGTACCTCGGGTTACAGACACTTCAGGTTACAGACCCCGCTAACCCAGAAATAGTACCATGGGTTAAGAACTTTGCTTCAAGATGAGAACAGAAATTGTGCGGCGGCAGCAGGAGGCCCCATTAGCTAAAGTGGTACCTCAGGTTAAGAACAGTTTCAGGTTAAGAACGGACCTCCAGAACGAATTAAGTTCTTAACCCGAGGTACCACTGTATATTTAGGAGGTTGGGCCATTGCTCAGTGGCAGAGTATCCTGTTTGCATGCAGAAGGTCCCAGGTTCAATCACGAAACATCTCCTGGTAGGCCTAAGAATCTCCCTGCCTGAAACCATGGACAGCGGCTGCCGGTCAGCATCAGCAAGACTGTGTTTGATGGATCAATGGGCCTGACTCAGTGCTCAGGCAGCTTCCTGTGCTCCCAAGCCTTTTTATCCAAGTGCGAAAGAACTGCCCAGTGAGTCGGCCTCAGATCGATGGGTGCCCTCAGGTCACCTTCCAGTCCCAGTGCAAAGAACTGCAGGATCTTGGCCTCCCACCCACTCCGAGCATTAAACAGCTCAATGCAAGATGCACTTTGAATTAATTTCATTTGAAGTTTTCAATATTTCCTGCCATTAAGCAAGCATCTCTCTCTTCCCACCCCCTTGTTTTTGTTTTCCAGGCAGGCTTTTAGTCCCGCTAAGTGTTGTGCAAAACCCTTCCTCTGTCCATTTGAGGCTCGCAGCCGGATTTCCCCTCCTCGTGCTGGAAGCGTGCACATTTTCGGCTGTTTTTCTTCAGGAAACAAGGCACTTGGAAGTAACAAAAGGCCCAACGTGGCGGAGGCTGCCGCCGCCACAGCCTATGCATGCGGAAGAAGTTCGATAGTTGTTAAAATTACAGTGTTTTTGGAAAACGATCGTGTTTGGAGATTTCTCTCTCTCCGACAGACAGCGGGTGTAATTATTTTTATTGAACCCTTATTGGTCATAAAAAACGGTGTCGTGTCGGCTCCCGCGGATAAAACGCCCAACGAGGATCCTATAATGGGGAGAGAAATAGACAGTTATAGCCCTAAAGCAATGTTAGCTATTGGGGGGGAGGGGGGATCTTTACAAATGTTTCTTTTTAATAAAATAACCCAAAAAAAACCCCACAAGTAACAGAACAGCATGCTGTTCTACAGTTGACAAAAGAATCAACCATCCATGGGAGGAGCATAAAGACAATTGGTAGGAGCTGAAAACGACAGTGATTCTTTCTGGATGGTTACAAGAGATGAATGTACACAAGGGACTGTTTACTGAGGCCCAGAAGAAGCCTGAGGGCCACATGGCCTCGTGGGAGAACTTCCAGGGGCCGCATGCCAGTGGCAAGCAAAGACAGAGGCAAAAGTGGTTGGAGCAATAGGGGTGGCTCTTAATTTTCTGCTACAGGCTATACTGCAACTGTGCAAAAGTCAGGTGTTTTTACATAGCCCTACAACCCCAAATTGATGCTTTTGAATTATGGTGCTGGAAGAGACTCTTGAGAGTCCCATGGACTGCAAGAAGATCAAACCTCTCTATTCTTGTGGAAATCAGCCCTGAGTGCTCACTGGAAGGACAGATCCTGAAGCTGAGGCTCCAATACTTTGGCCACCTCGTGAGAAGAGAAGACTCCCTGGAAAAGACCCTGATGTTGGGAAAGATGGAGGGCACAAAGAGAAGGGGACGACAGAGGACGATATGGTTGGACAGTGCTCTCGAAGCTACTAAAATGAGTTTGACCAAACTGCGGGAGGCAATGGAAGACAGGAGTGCCTGGCATGCTCTGGTCCATGGGCTCACGAAGAGTCGGACACGACTAAATGACTAAACAACAACAACAACCTCAAACACATTTCTCTACCCAGACAAGCAAAAAACCTCCTTCCACCTCCCACTTGCTCAGTCACTGAGATCGGTGGTCATCAGTAGTTCAGATGCACAGCTTGACACTACTAGAAACCCATAACCTGCAAGTGTCCCCAGAAAACCGGGACATCCCGTTTTCTTCCCTGCAAGAGCACAGTGGCCATTTGGGGTCCCATGATCTTGTGTGATTTTGCACCAAGATCTTGCGTCCCCAAAGTGTTGTTCTTTTTCAGGGCTGCAATCTCATGCAGCACCCCAAAACTTGCGTGAGAGCACAACCCTGAAAAAAGTGCTTCTTTGGGGCTCCTTGATCTCGCACGGGTGGCATGACTCATGTACAAGCACGGACGGGAAGCTGTGCATCCTAGTTTTGGGACTCAACATGTTAAAGGGTAGGGACATGGGTGGCGCTATGGGTTAAACCACAGAGCCTAGGACTTGCCGATCAGAAGGTTGGCGGTTCGAATCCCCACGACGGGGTGAGCTCCCGTTGCTCGGTCCCTGCTCCTGCCAACCAAGCAGTTCAAAAGCACGTCAAAGTGCAAGTAGATAAATAGGTACTGCTCCGGCAGGAAGGTAAACAGCGTTTCCGTGCACTGCTCTGGTTCGCCAGAAGCGGCTTAGTCATGCTGGCCACATGACCCGGAAGCTGTACTCCGGCTCCCTCGGCCAATAAAGCGAGATGAGCACCGTAACCCCAGAGTCGGCCATGACTGGACCTAATGGTCAGGGGTCCCTTTACCTTTTTTATGTTAGAGGGTATGCAAACCATGTATTCAGAGTTGCAGGTCTGACTGCCTCCTGACTGAGATGATGATGGTGACTATGATGGTGATAATGATAATGATAGGAGCTAGCTTGAGATTTCAGGAAGGGGGTGGGCACAGGGACCCACTAATACCCTCCTCAAACTCCACACTTCCCTCTTAGCCCTCCCCATTACAACAGAAACCAAGCCTGATTCAGCGTGGGATATCCTAGTTTCCTGCCCTTGTTATGCTGGCTATAAGTAGCTATGATCTGAATTATGCCTAACAATACATCGATCATCCTGCTCCATGAAACTTATTCCATATGCAAAGCTGTTGGACAACTTGCAATAAGAAAAGAAAGGAAAATGTCCTTGCTCTTTGAACAGCAGCCTGACACAGTAATGTAAGCGGAGGAGCTTTCTCCCACATGAAGAGAAGCTCCACCAGATACATGTGCCATAGAACAAATGGAGCCAGATCTGGGGAGGAAAGAAGGGGTGGAGGCCAGGTAACCCTCCCTATATGGCATGTAGGTTAGTCGCAGAAAACAAAGCTTCCACATAGTGAGTTGGCATTACGCAGAGAAGTTCAAAAGCATTTAATGTTGCTCTGTAAG